GAATACTTAGAAGCTCGGGTTAGCGGTTGTGCATCACTGTCTCAACTCCTCAGCAGCCAAGAAAGGAGTCAGCTTCTGTCTAAATGGTTTCACCAGTTGGTTCCTGATCCTCCGGAATCTGACACCACCCCTCTAGTAATGGTTCAGTTCAACATGTTTGAATGTGGCGGAGTAGTCATTGCCATATGTGTGAAACATACAGTTGCAGATGGAGTTTCATGTTTCACTTTCATTAATACTTGGGGTAAGATTAGCAGAGTTGGAGCTGTTAATGAACAATTTCGCCCAAGTTTCGAACTAGCTTCCTTCTTCCCTCCAAGAGAAGTATATCTTCCCCAGAAAAGTAATGGACCTGGAGATGATAAAAAGTTCTTTGTGAAGAGGTTAGTGTTTAGTGCAGCAGCTATATCAACTCTGAAAGGCATAGCCACTAGTACTGGAAGTACTGACTCAGAATCCTTGAAACATCAACCAACACGGGTGGAGGTGTTGATGGCATTCATTTGGATGTGTCTCATTCGAATGGCTAAAGCTAGGTGTGCCGGCTTTAGGCCCTCACTCTTATTAATTTCTGTCAATATCCGAAACAGGACAATCTTACCAATACCAGAGAATTCATTTGGAAACATTGTAGTCCAAGCAGTTGCAAGGTTTTTTCCTGATGGCAAAGGGAAATTGGAGCTTCATGATCTGGCAGGAAAGATCCATCATGCGATAAGAAGCACTCTATCAAATTGTGCAAAAGCAACAAATGCAGATGACATTGTCTCTTTGGTTAACAAAGCAAATGAGGAGCTGCAGCTGGCTAAGGATACACCTGACGTTGACTGTTATGCTTCCACTAGCTGGTGTAGGTTTCCAATATATGAAGCAGATCATGGTTGGGGAAAGCCATCTTGGGTGAGTGTTCCTATGTTTCCCAATATGAGGGATGTTATTGTCCTGATGGACACTAAAGATGGGGATGGCGTAGAGGCATTGGTGGCCCTGGATGAAAGGAGCATCATGCATTTCTTTGAGCAAGACCCGGAAATCTTACCATTCTTGGGTCAAGAGCTTCAAGCTTAAGATCACTTGGTGTCGATCAACTTCATTTGTCTGATCAAGATGCTGTCTACGGTTCAAGTTTCTGTCAGCAGGATTAATTCTGCAAACTCGTTATTATAGTTGCTACAAAATAATTGAATATGTGAACTGTCTTTTCCTTTCTGGTTTGGTCAGGGTCTGCTAGTCTTTGATTGTCAAGTTTGAACTCTTGAATATTGTTGTATCAGCAAGAATAAAGGGAACATGTAATCTTTATTATGTGTTTCATGTTAATCAAGTAATCCTGCTGTAACATGCTCTTTGTATCGTTAACTTCTTTCTTTCTTTCTTTTTTTTGTTCCCTTCTCTATTCTTTAAAAGAGAGATGAAATATCAGATGAGTGCAGGTAGTATATATGGAAACGCCCTCACGGAACATTCAAAAGTATTGAGTCTTGAACCACGTCTTATAACTCTTGTACGAGAATATGCTCATGATTAGAGCTAGTAGAGTGATTGAGTGATTGATTGATTAGATTGTTTCAGTGATTTTAGGATTGTGTGTAATTATAGGAAATTTTTGTTCTTAGTAGCCTATACAACATTTAGTGAAGGCCGCGAGCACGCATGAATGGATTCAGGGAATCCACTGATTCGATCACGCTCTAGTTGACTATCTCGGTGTAGGAGTGGCCTTTCTTGCGAAGGATTTCGATCTGGGAAGTGGGAGGAAGAAGTTGTTAGGATCGAACTCGAGATCTCATCCCCCTCTCAGCCCTTTAAGGCTATCGAGACAACAATAAGCTATTGTAACTTGAGAAATGGAGATGGGTGTCAATGTTACCTGAGCCATCATCAATGCTATGTATACACCGGCAGTGAAGGAATACATTGGACCGAAGTCATCAGGTTGCCGGACAGCTCGGACTCGCTCGCCTACCTTCCACATGCGGGTCTGATCAATTTTACCCATTGGAAAAGCTGGAAGACCGTCTTTTTCCTGTAACATGAGCAAATAAACTGTAAGGATCAATATCGAGAGAGAAGGCTAACTTTGATGTACATGGGAGGGGATGGAAGCATGGTAAAGCAGTAGATGAGGAAGTGAGCGTACATAAAACCGGTGCACAGCTTGTACAACACTGCGGATCTCACTGCCACAAGCTACATCTTCGTAGCACTCATACAAGATGTCCATAAAAGGGTAGTATGAGGCACTGTATGCATCTCAAATTCCCTCTTGCCTTCTTCAGACAAGGAGTTATATACACCCAACAAACCCCGTTAGAAGACAGACATGTGAACACAATGAGACAAAACTGGTGCGTCTCTAACTAATTGAACAAACATCAACTTAAAGGCACACGCTAATAAAGAACTTCAGTTTGAAGACAATGAATTCCAGAATTTGATGAATAAAAAACCTGAGATGAGATGGTCTTTGACATAATTCCGCAAATTCCCTCCACTGTGTTCTTATATGCATCATCTTCACTCATTCCATTTTCTGTGTACCGTCTAAACAAGGACTCAACAATTCCATGAATACCGCCAAGTAAAATGCCTATGGACAATACAACCATAAGTTAGCAAAAAGAAAAAAGAGCATAGCAGAACAAAGAGGTTGTGAACCAAACTCACCCTCTCCCCGAAGATATCACTCCTGTAATCCATCTCTAGAGTTGTGGCAAATGTGAAAGGGACCAAGGGCAACAGACCAACCCAAGGCAACATCTGTTGCTCTACCATCAACATCCTGCAAAAGTGGGAAACAGTAAAAAACAATGAGTCAGTGTAATTGCATCACCCCGGCCTTATGCCTGTGCTCTAGTCTTGGTTGCAAGTATGTAAAGAGCAAGAAATACCTGGTGAACTGCAAAGCTGGAATTGATTCCAGCACCATTGATCTCTTTGCCTTGAGCATAAAATTTTCCTACAGAAGGACCCATATCCTTGGGACAAACAGCAATAACACTGAAATGCTTTGGGAAGTCACGTCCCATAGCTTGCAAATACCCCAGGAGAAACCCATGGGAAAGCCCAAGAATACTGTTTGGCTTCATGAGGGAGAATATTTTCTCATAATTATCCGCCTGTTGCAACAGAAAGAAGAATTAATGAAGAGATAAGAGTAATTCACATATATATTTTAGTCACCAAATACGAGTTCTTCAACTAAAAAAACGCATAGCAAAAACTGAATGTTTACTACACAATACACAGTTTCTTCAGGCACTCACTATAAAAAATCAGAGCACCAAGAAAACATCACAGGAAAACGGTAATGTTCAAAAGGGACAAAGAGATTACAAAAAGATGTCCAAGAAACAAACTGGAGTTGATTTCCCTTTGCATCATCCAATCGAGAATTGCTTTAGTGGAAAACGATTTACACTACAAGTCGCATAGAGAAGAGAAAAGAGAAGTGCACATTCACAGAGAGTTGGTATTGGAAAGTATTTCGGCTATGGTTCTCTGTTATAGTAAATTTCAAGAGAATGATTGTGCGCCAAGCAACTGCAGCAAAAGTTGTTTACTATCTTTACACAGAGCAAAAACAATCATTGGATGGATTCATACACTTTCTGTGACATAATCAGAGAGCCAAATGCATCTATAGAAAACCATCTCATTTATGTTGGTAAGTTGTACTTTAATGTAAATAAGACAAAAATTATATTAATTAAGTCAGGATGGCCGAGTGGTCAAAGGCGGCAGACTAAGCATCTGTTCCTCGCTAAAGAGGGCGTGGGTTCAAATCCCACTCCTGACAAACAATTTTATTATTTTTAATTGCATGTTTCTAAGGTAAATTATATTTTAATAAAAATGAGACAAAAGGTATATTAATTAAGTCAGGATGGCCGAGTGGTCTATGGCGGCAGACTAAGCATCTGTTCCTCGCTAAAGAGGGCGTGGGTTCAAATCCCACTCCTGACAGAATGTTTTTGAGAAACCAAACGCAGGAGACACAATGGCTATTATATATAAGAAGAATCAATGAAGAGATGTCGGGGCAAAGCTCCGGGAAACCGGATCGGAAACAAAAAATATGAAGAGATGAAAGTAAAAAACGCAACGCATAAAGCATGAGAAAACTGTATCTTTAGCACGCAATACTCTACACAGTTTCTTCAGGACTTAATATAAAACATCTCCATTTTACTTCATCCAACCAAGAGTTGCTTTAATGGAAAACGATTTTACACTACACAAGTCAGAGAAGGAAGAAGTAGAAAGGGCACATTCACAGAGAAGTTTGTTCATACAATTGAGAATTGAGAATATAAGCATTGGTACTGGGAAATATTTCGCTAATGGTTCTCGATTATAGTAAATTTCAGGAGAATGATTGTGAGCCAAGCAACTGCTGCAAACGTTGTTTAGTTTTTTTCCACCAAGAGCAAAAACAGTCATTGGAATGATGCATACAGTTTCTATGACTTTATCACAGAGCCACAGGCATCTTTACATCTCTTTCAACTAAAAAAAAAAAAAAAGAAAACCATCTCATTTATGTTGGAGAATTAAACGAAATATAAATAAGACAAAAATTATAATAAATAAGTCAGGATGGCCGAGTGGTCTAAGGCGGCAGATGACGTGTCTGTTCCTCGGCAAAGAGGGCGTGGGTTCAAATCCCACTCCTGACAAAGTTTTTTTATTGTTAATTATTTTTTAAAGGAGGGCTACAAAATTCATAGCCTTAAACAGAAGGCATTAGTAATAAATCAATCACTGTCACAGTGACATGCATGTTTTTTTTGGTCACATGAAATTCCTACACTAGCCTAACCTAACCTAAATACTAATTCAACACCGGTCCGGATCGAACCCACGACCTAAGCCCCACACAAGATGGGAAGTGCCACTCGAGCTAACGCTCACAGGCACATGCATGTTTAGAAAACCATCTTATATATGCTTGGTTAATTATATTTTAATATAAATAAGACAAAAAGTATATTAATTAAATTAGGATGGCCGAGTGGTCTAAGGCGGCAGACTAAGCATCTGTTCCGCGCAGACTAAGCATCTGTTCCGCCCTAAAGAGGGCGTGGGTTCAATTCCCACTCCTGGCAAAATCTTTTACAGCTATTGTTAATAATTTTTATATTTAGTGTTAATAATAAATTACGAGCACGGTAGTCCAAGTGCTGGTTTTGAGCACTAGTCCAAATCCACTTCTTCTGACATCTTGCATTGGACCTCCAAGTTCTAAGCATAATTGGCATTCCCCGCCGTTACCTTAAATCTTTTTTGGTCGAACCTTGTCACCTTAATTTGTGTAACGTACGTACTGACTTCACATATCTCCTCTACATTATGTCAAGTAGTAAAACAATGTAATAAAAGAATAAGAATGATCCAAGGTGCCATGCTTAGAGCCTGGTCCGTACTTGTTTTTCTCTACAACACTAGGAGCAAGACTTAGACTCATTGAAAGTACATATACAGAGCTAAATCATCTAAGCACACCCACAAGAATGTCTACAACTGAGAGACAACTGCAAACCTCTATGTATGTTTTTAGTGATGTTTAATAATTTCTCATGCCAATAAGGCAAAAAATATATGAATTGGTGAGGATAGACGAGTAGGTCTAAGGCGACAGGTTTAAACCCTTCATATGGGGCGTGGGTTCAAATCCCACTTCTAATTATTGGTTATTGGTTAGTAAGATGAAAACATCTCGCTTTGTCACATCTTCCTATGAACTAACAACATAAGGATAAAACCAAACCCAGGAGAAGCAACACACGGGCTATTATAAGTAATTCAATGGCTGAGTGGTTAGTGCTTGTATCATAAAGTCTGCTTTGTCACAATCTCACAAAGCCAACATCTTAAAGTTTGATGCACTCAATTTGTAGGAAAGGTTTTGGAACATCTTTAAGTTGTGGTTTTCTTTCTTTCACCGACAGTAGGAGAAGAAATATTTCTAACAATTGAACTCTATACAGTTATCCACAATCATTGCCACAAACAGAACAAAGAATCTTCAGAGCACAAAACTCAAGAGTGTTACGATGACAAACCTGTGCAGCATCCGAAATCTAAAGCAACAAAGATCACTGCCTGATATGGTCTCCCATATATCACCTAAAGTTCCATTCTCCTCCGTAAATCCAGCAGCAGCACCTTCGGCAAAGGAACGGGAGCCTTTTCTAAGTCCAATCTATATCATGAGAATGTTGAAATCAGAGGAAATGAACTACTGATTCAGGAAAGATACCTTGATGCGCTAAGTTCAAGCAATCCGCTAGACAAAGCTAGGATATGGCATAGGACCGTAGATTACCTTGACTACAATATCAGAATCGGCTGCAGCAAGAGAATCCCTCAAATTCTGAGCTTGAGCAGGACCCTTACAAGAAAGAGAGACAAAGTTAGCAACATTGGCTGCAGATAAAATATTTTTAATACTGATGCTCAGATCAGAAATTAGCAGGTTAGTTGTCAAAACAAAAAGTTATTCATATGACATTAAGGTTGATTATGTGATTGGGGCCAGCGGTGGAAAATGGCCTTCTGCAAGATTTGAATAACTGAGAGTGATAGTCTAATTTTCAAGGAAGAGTTATTCCCAGAGAAGCAGCTGGTGATTAAATCTTCGGGAGCAAACATCTTGATGGGATTTCTTAGTCAAAAGTATGTAAGATCTTTTTTCCTTTTTGCCATAAGGTACAAAAAGTTAATTGGTCAAGTTGTTACAGGGATCAATCTCAATCCCCAGACACAAGTCCAACTTGTCATGCTGTTTTAAATTGGTTAAGCAACTAACGTTAGGCTTTGCCGTCCTAATGGTTCATGTGATCTCTGTTCATGAAAGGAGGAAATCAGAGACTACTTATTATTCTGATGCTCTTATGCGGCTGCTGTTTTGAGAATGACTTTGCTGAAATGTAGTATTCATAGTAATAAGGTGTATAGGATTAAGGGTTTCCCTGGGATAACCTTCTTTCCAGAGAAAAAAAAAGTCTCAAGTCTATGGCTATATATTTCACTTCAGGATGGGAAGGAACAAGCATATATTCCCTCAACAATCCAGTTCTTCGGCTGATAAGTTCTGTACCACCTATTCTGAGGTTAAGGCAATATTCTATTATTCTATAAAGCATCTCCATCCGCTAAATCCAGATCGTATCCAGCTATGTTCAAGCTACAATCTCTTTCCATCTCTGGCCTTCCAAAAATTACATAATTTCAACAAATTCATGAAAAATTACTGACAAAGCTGCAAAAAAAAAAGTGATGTACTAAGGCATTCTAGGTAGGCTCATCTGCGTAAACATATGGAACCACAATCAGCCCACTCAACCCATCAAATTCGTTCAAATTAATCAAAAATAATAACAGTAGCAATCAAATCCAATCCACCCAAACTCTAACTTAATGAAGAAATCTTAAGTTAATAGCCATTTTGACCCTTTGAGCCATCAAGAAACAACCATAAATCAACTCCAATAAAATAAACAATACACCAAAGAAAAAAAATTAAAACAGGGAGAAAAAAACATGATTCACCTGAGAACCCCAGCCGATGACACCGATCTGCTTAATCCCCTTGAACGCATCCGGCAACAAGTGGAACAGATCTCTCCCTCCTCTCACAATGTACTACAACAAATCGAAATCGAATAAAACGTCAATAAAAGGAAAAGATAGGAAATGAAAAGGGGAACAAAACAGAGAGAGAACTACCTCATCGTGGCCGGCGAGTGAGATCTTTTCCTTCTTGAAGACGGAGGTATCGAAATCGAGGGACGGAATCGGCTTCACGGCGGGGACGGAGACCATCCGGGCACCGAGAGCCGATGACGATCCACTACCTTAACCATAACAACTGCTCGCTCTAACCGCCTTGGATACGGAAGTGAAGGACCGTAAGTTGGCGGTGGGGACGGAGACGAGAGCTGGTTTCGCCGCCGATCTGGCGGCAGTCTTCGCCGCCGGGGTTGGGGTGGAGAGAGCCGGGGAGAAAGACGTGGAGGCCGCCATTTTAGTGAAGAAGAAAAAGAACAGTAAAGGCCAACCACTACTACTACTACTGGTAGTGGTATAGTGCGCGTTTTTTTGTGTTTCGAATTTAAGTGGAGGTTATTTTGAATGTGGGGGGTTCAATATATTTTACCCCATGATCTTTCGGTCAAACTTCAATCACCCCCTGAAAAAAAGAAAAAACCAGAATTTTACCCCCTGATTTTCATTTTCTTCGGGTAAATAATCCAGCCAAAGTAATAGGAATAAAAAGCGAAATCCAAAAAAATGGCGAATGACGGGAATTGAACCCGCGCATGGTGTTTGGTTGGACCGATTCTGTTTCTGTTAAGTGACATAACGGCAATCAGGAATAGCGACACGTGGCGATATCTTGGCCATTCGATAGATTTTTCTATTTTCTTTTTTGGCAAAAGCAAAATAGAATATATATATTAAAAAATAAAAAACAAAAAAAACAAAAAACAAAAAAAAAATGAAGCCTCACGTCCGACAGACTGTTACTCCCAACTATGAATATTCAATATTTTTTTCCATTTTCTTCTTCTTCAAAAACAAAAAAAAATATTTATATTCAAAAGAATGAAAAATCAAAAATAAAATTGACAGCACCCTCCCATCGCCGCCACGCTCACCACCAACAACTGGCGTCGCTCCTTCATCGTTCGTGCCGTCCGAGTCAAGTTCAAGAGGAAGAAGCTCCACCTCAACAGTGGCAAATCGGCCACGTCAACCACGGCAGGACCACCCTAAAAAATCAAGCAACCCAAATCGCCGCCACCACCCGCCCATCGCCGCCACGCTCACCATCAACCATACAAATACCTACTCCTCCAACAAGCCCTAACTCAAAAAACAGAGCCCACGCACGAACCTCGTCGGTTCCACACAATTCGACACCGGCACCGCCAACGGATCCCTTCATCATCTTGAGGGCAAAACACACACACACCAAATAAAAACACAATTAAAAATTCCCTCAATTCCTTTCTGCAATCAGAAAAATTACGTTGCCCTATTCAACACATAAAGCATCAAAATCACACGCATAAAGAGAGGAAGGGAGTGTGGTTATCTTTCTCTCTCTCTATCTTTCTCCAATTTGTCTTCTGCAGAGGGAGGAGGAGGAGATGGACAGGGGTGAGGGTGGCCCCTACGGTTGCTGTCTTGGAGGATGACCCGCGCCTAAACAATGCTTGTGGTCTTAGCCGATGAGATTCCTCTGCCGTTGACAACGCGCCCATTCCTTCCTCTTTGGTCGTCATTGCTCCCATTCTCCGTGTCGCCAATGAGATCGAGAAGGACAATCCAGAGGCGATTTAATGGCGGTGGTGAATAATAAAGCTAGAGGCACACAAGGAAGGAGAAAGAAGTGGAGAAGGAGGTTGCGGTGGGGATGATGGAGAAGAGTGAAGTAGTGGCGAAAATTAGTGAGGAAAGAGTTTTTTCTTTTCGTTTTGCATAAAGATTTTTTTTGTTTTTCTTAAAACATCAAATAACAAAAAAAGAAAAATTTTACTAAATGGTTCAGATCTTGGCACGTGTCATTCATCAATGGATTCCGTCAAATAAACTAATGAAGCCCTAACGGAAATTATATGTGGAATGGCAAACTTTAGGTGGTTAAATTTCGGTTTTTTTTTTTTTCAGGGGGTGATTGAAGTTTAACCGTATGATCAGGGGGTAAAATGTATTGAACCCGTTGGTAACTTGGTAGTGGCTAGATTGCGCCGCTGGTGGAATGTGCGCGCTTTGTTTATAGCCCCAATGGCAATGTGTTTAATTATTGGGTTGGATCTGTCCAAATGTTATGGGGCCCGATTAAGGCCCACGTCTGTTGCTGAGGGGGAATGCAATGGCCCACGTCTGTTGCCGCCATTACCTATCCGTTGCAAACAATAAAGTATTTTTTATTAATATAATCAAGATTTTTTAAAATGAAGTTTCCGGGGTTTGAAGAAAAGATGAAAATAAACAAAGCTGATGATGAAATTTATGCAAAATAAATAAATAAATAAATAAATTTGATAACCCAAGTATATGAATCAAATCATGATTAACTATTTTTTTTTTATATACTAGATCAGTATCTCAATCGACTAAGGAATTAAAAGCCTTGTTGGGTGTATATGGCGTCAAGGAATGAACTACTATTTTTTTTAACGAAAGGAAAGGAAGACGGCCACCACCATAAAACCACGGTGAATCAAGGAATGAACTATGAGGATATATATAATATTTGTCCCGATGGACACCAAAGATGGGATGGAGTGGAGGCAATGGGACTCTGGGTGGAGGCAAGAGAGCATATCTTTGACCAAGAAGCTGAAACACAAAAGAATTAGCAGCTTCATGCATGATCTGGCAACTAGGCAAGATCCATGATGCATTAGACAGCACTGTACGTATCAGATATTGCAAAAGCATCAAATGCTGATGACATTGTCTCTTTGGTGGACAATGCAAATGGGGAGCTGCAGAAGGGTAAGGATATATAAGCCTGATACTGACTGTTATATTTCTTTCCACTAGCTGGTGTAGGTTCCCTATGAAGCAGATCATGGTTGGGGAGAGCCTTCTTGTGGGTTAGTGTTCCCATGCATCCAACAATGAGGAATCTTATTGTCCTGATGGACACAAAAGATGGGGTTGGAGTCGAA